GGAGGCCAACAGGAACTTGGACATTGGCTCCCGAGGACACCTGCCTCTGCTCTATGCTCTTCCTCTTTCAGGAGAGAAAGCTGAAAGCAGGTCATCCAGTGTTCTGCTGGGAATGTGTGGGGGCCAAGCCAGACACACATGGCTCTTCTCTGCACTGCACCTGACCTTTCCTGCCCTCCTTTTCCCTTTCTTACAAATGCTGGAGCCTGCAGAGGTCGAGGGGTGGTGATAAGGGGAAGGGTCTATGTCTGGCCATCACCTTTGGGAGCCCTGGGCAGTGGTGTTCTCCACACTGTGGCTCCCCTCTGCTCTCCGTATTTGGTGGCTACCCCAGGGCTCCAGACAAGACAGAGGGGCATTGGCATGGACATATTTATTGGCTTTGTGTGTCCTTAAATCTATTACTCTCCCCTTCTCTCTTCTGTTTTATCTTGCAAGGAAGCCAAGCCCTGCAGGCTGCCTGCTTCGGCTTACCAGCTGCTTCTGGCTGGCTTCAGCCTATCGGAGGTACTGGTGGGAGATGGGGGACAGGGAAAGGGGCGAGGCTAACCTATTTGTTCCTCCTTCCCGGCATCTCAGCCAATGGCAGCAGCAGCCTCTCCTCTGTGGGTCCAGCACCCCATGGCAGCCTCTCCCTGCAGCAGCAGAGCCTCCGTAGCAGTTCTAGCCCTGTGCCAACAGGGCCCACTCTGGCTCTGCTCACATTACCTCTCTTGGTTGCCACTCTAGCCCAGAGGTTGTAACCACCAGTAACAGCATAAACATCTCTGAATTGCGCCCTCTATTTGACTTTTCAGAAATTCCACCTCTTGTGTCCCAATTCCCTGAATTACATGTTTGGAATACTTAATTTTTATTTTTGTAACTGGATCCTGAATGATACACGTCCTAACAAGGTCACTGAATAGGATCCATGTTCCCAACTAATCTGTAGCAGGCTGTCGAGATGACAACATGATGTCCTCAACCCACAGAGAAGCAATCATGGAAAACCAGGTTTGGCTGTCTGGCTGAGCTCTCACCCCAGTGGCCCCCAGCTCTGCTGCATTTTAAAGATTCCCACCCTACCTCTTTAAAGGAAAGTGAGGCAGACATCTCAGCCAGTCCTTCTTCCAACAATTAGAAAACTGGGCTCAGAGCCTGGGCAATCCCAGTGGTTTTGCAGGTACCTCCTACATGTAATCTCTGTGTTTTTTAGGTAACAGAAAGGATCAGAGAAATAACAAAGGAGTGAAATCTTCTTCTCCAGAGCCCTACCCTTAACACTGATTTGGTTTTGATTCAGATCTGCCTATTCTCTGGCTCCTTCCTAGTTGTTCCAAAATTTCTGGAGCTAGAAGCTTTGCTGCAAACGCCCCATTAAGAAGCAGGCATTGTGGGGATGGGTGGGGGCTGCTGTCCACTAGAAAGAAAAAGCAGAGGAACCGGGAAAAGCCAGGGGGGGCTGGCATCCTTACTGGCGTGCACACTTTCTGTGGAGCACGCCTGCTTGCCAAATGATGCTTTAAAGCCCTTTCAGCTCACGTGCTTAAAGGAGAAAATAATTAAACTCTTCTGTCAAGGATCACCTGTTCTCCACAGCCCCTCACTTAGGATGTTTTGTTCCCACTGGAGCGTGTGATTGGAAAACAAAGGTAAATGGGAGCAATTTATTCTGCATCATTTTTCCCCCAGCAGGATTAAAGCTGCCTCAGCCATAAAGAGTTTACAAACTCTAAAGAAAGATAATAACTTCCCTTCTCACGGCCCGGTCACAGGGAGGTAATGTATGTTTCCAATCAACTGAGAATGTAAGTCCGATGGTAGGTTTTATTTCGGTTTAATCCGCCTGTGAGTTCACGTGAAAGGTAAGAGGAATTGCAGCCCTGAAATGTAAACCGAGTTCATTACATTCAGCATCTCCTCCTGAAAGTTGAGGCTCTGGGCTTGCTGACTCCTCCCTTGCAAGTCTGGGGTAGGTTGAGTGACTAGAACGCAGATGGAGCTGATGTAGGAAGGCGTGGTGGACGGAGGGCTGACTTCAGAAGCTGTGGCAACATCAGCTGCCCTCGGATGCCATGGGTGAAAGCTGAGGAAGAGGAAAGAGAGTAAGGCTGAACATGAAGCTCACAGCAGAAGAGTGGGAGGCAGGTGTCCCAGCCGCAGCCCGTTGCTGGGGTGACGAACCATCCTCTCGGCATGGGGTGTGCTTATTTTTGCACACCTCTTGCTGACTGCAGCCTGGCTGCTCAGTGGATTGCTTGTAGGGAGATCTATTGTCAGTTCCTGTCTCAGCTCTCCGTTTTAGACATGTGGAGACTGGGAACTGACCTGCGACTGAGTATTGCTTTACATGTTTATGAAGTGATCATTTCCTCAGTAACCTGCTGGGAAACCTTTGATGCCACTTTTATACCATGAAGCCACTCCTTCATGTTAAACATTGCCTTCTCCAATCCTTTCTTTGAAGATGCAGGTGCCTCCCACAGAGTGACTTCCTGGTCTCCTGGGGCCCCCGGGGATCTCTTAATAGGCAGCTCTGGTGTGAGTGAGTGGAGCACTGGTGCAGCAGGATGGGCATTGCTGGCGTGTGTGGGGGTGCGGGTCTGTGCAGGCTGGCTCCACTGCACAGGGGAGCCGGGAGAAAGTCAGAGCAGGTCCTAAGACACCAGCCAGCGGGATACCTGAGTGTTACTGTGCAGAGCTTCTCCCAGGGCCTTCTGGGGATGCATATCCTTGTGCGCCTCTGTTGGGGACTAGTGTTGGCTGAGTGTTGTCTGTCCCTCTTCATGATAAGGCACCCTGTCAAACCTGTTAGTCTTTTTCTACAGTTACCACACCTAACCCCAAGCCCCAGGTTTCACTTGAGTTGAGAGTGAGATTGAGAATGAAGCATCACCTTGTTCTGCCCATCTTGAATCCCTGGGCAGCCCACTGTGGCCCAGAGGAGGCAGAGACAGCCCCTTTGCCACTGCTCACCCAGGCTTTACAACCTTCTCTCGTTGTGGGCTGGCTGTCTTTCTACCACTGCAGCTTAGGATGGGTGGTTCTTGGCATGAGAAGGCTGGTCTAGGCCTTGCACCCCAGGGAACTGCTGCCTGTCTGTCCATCTGCCCTCTACTCAGCTCCATGATGGCCACTGGGAACTCAACATCCAATAATTTGGGGCCTTTGTTTGGGTAGAGCTTGAGGTCTCCCTGGGTGTGAGACATCCCCCATGGGATTGCCCTGGCCAGCCACAGGCTTCCTTCCTTCCTCCAAGCTGCCCCAGGCCAGCATGACCATGCCCACCGTACTTCCTCCTGGCACTGTCTTTGGCCTGTGACCCTGCTCTGGGCCTGTGGGTGGGGAGCATATGCACTTCCCCTGACACGTAGCCTCAAGCCGATGCTGTGTCTTGCTTGCGGGCAAATTAGTAATATTCACATTCTTGGAAAAGCAGAGGATGTGTGGGTTAAAGTTCCTTAAAGGGCAGCCCAGGGAGTGACTTCTGCATTTCCAGACTTTATCTCAGAGAACTGTAGCTGTCCAGGGTCTACCTGACTATAAGTGATACAGCTCTTCTGAGCAGATGTGTATTTGTGCGCACATGTAAATCAACCCCACATGTCCACTTGCATTTAATTCACTCCCCTGAACTGGCCAGCGGTAGCTGACTCTGCTGAGCATCTTCTGTGTGCCACAGACTATACTAGATGCTTTACTGTAGTGCCTCGTTCTACCTCTACAAGGACTGTAAGGTAAGGAGAGACTGTTAGCATTCTTATTTTCTAAAAGAAAGCTATAGCACAGGGAGATTCAGTTACTTGGCAGAGATCAAGAACTAGTAAGTGGGCAACGGTCTAACCACTGAGCCTCAGCATGGAACCACCATAAGGCTTATGTGGCTGAGTGCGTCTGTGAATCTCTGTGCTCACATGCATGCATACCCTTTAGCGTTTGGGCTGCCCCATGTGTGAAGCTGAGAGAGTGCAGAGGAACATTCTGGGAGAACCTTTCCCAGAGGGGGTGTCTACACAACAAGGAAAGTGGTGTCGGGTATGTAGATGAGGTCCCTGAAGCCCACCTGCAAATTCCACCTGTTGGGAAAGTGGGGCGGGTGTTAGGGATCTACTGCTTTAAATCTTCCTCTACTCCAGCAGAGCAGAGCCTTGGATGGGCAGGATGAGGCAAAGTCTGAGTTTCCCAGGGAGATTTCGTGAGTCAGTAGAAACAATAAGCCAGATGTTTCCTGATCCCCTTCCACGCTGTGTCTGGCCTGCCGTCCTTCATCCTCATTGATGCTTCACCCCAAAGGCCCGAGGTGCAGAGTCTCCCATGGAGGAGTGGGCTGCTCTCATAGAACCTCAGCAGGGATGGGTTTGCTCCTTCCCAGACAGGAGAGAATCCTTGCTGAGGCCCTGGGGAGGGACACTCAGTGCAGCAGTTTGTCCTGGAGGTTCTCCAGAGGACGGGGAGCCACACCTGGGACCCTGGGCATTTCCATCAGCCCCCTCTCTTCAGCCTTTGTTGCTCAGGGACAGTGTCCAGGCATGGCTCCAGTCTCAGGCTCTCCATGTGGGTGGCTGTTTCATAATACAGTTTTGGAGCCACTTTGGCCTGGGAGGGTCCTTCCTGCCTTCAGAATAAGCATGTGAGATGGAAAGGCAGTTCCAACAGTGGGCCAAACTGCATGTGGCTCCTCTTCCTTGCCAGGCCCAGCCATGTGTCTCTTGTTCTGCAGACCCTGACATTGGGCCTCTTGGTATGCAAACACCTTAAAATCTCCTCCCAACTGTCCACTAGGTCCACAGCTGCAGGAAAACCCTTAGTCAGAGGAGCCCTTGGGCTTTATGACCAGTTTGCCAAGGCTCAAGTCTTCCTTAGCTTCTGGTTGGTGGTGAGTCCTTGGGTCTGTACATATTAGGTTCCCTCTCTGGTTTCATGGCAGTGGCTGACCCTACTGAGTGCCTACCACATGCCAGGCACTGCACCAAGCATTTTGCACTTGCTGCCCCTAATTCCCTCATAACAGCTCTTCCTTGTAGGCACTGTTGTCTTAGCCATTTTCCAAAGGGACAAATAGAGACAAAACAGGCTGTTACTTGCCCAAGATCACAAAGCTCATGAACGGTATAGTGTGGGGCAAGAGAATTAACCTTTCTGGGCCTCCGTTTCCTCACCTGTAAAATACGGTTAACATCACTGACTATCTGGAGTGAGGTTTAAATGAGGCTGTGCATATAGCACCTAGCAGAGTGCTGAGCACCTGGTAAGTGTCAATAGACAAAGCTACCTAACAATAGAACTGTTAAGCTCAGCCAGAGGAGAGAAAATCTAATGACTATAGCATCATTCGCAATGGTAAGCCAATACTGTACCTCAGTTCACGAACACTTCTGTCTGCAAACAATTCGGTTCTCAAACAAAAGCATTCAGCAAAATTTTGCCTCCATTTGCAAACTGCACATCAGGTGACAAACACAAAAGTAACTATCTTCTTCAAAATCATAAAACAAATTAAGTTCCTGAGAAGGTACCACTGTAATTAAGTCATTAGCTCCTGAATGCTTGTCTTTCTTGAGGCCACCCAAAGCAGAGACTTTATCAGCCTGGGGACCACTTTGGGAATCCCAAGGGGCCCCCTCACAGCACTGGCCATCCCCTCCCTGGCAGCTCTTCCTCTCTTCTGCCTTGTGGCTGTTTCTGAGTATACTTGACTTATTTCCTATTGGTGGGGAGGCTTCCCAAGTAAGAACACAGCTAAGTCTTGCCCAGTGCCGTCTGCCCTATGGGGATAAGGCTCAGGGTCGAGGAGTAGAGTTGAATCTCCTGTAGCCCTACTTGGGTGGGCTAGCCCTTCTTCAGTGGGGAATGGCAAGTGCCTGGAGGTGGTTACAGTCCCCAAGGTGTGGGTCATCAAGTGTCAGCATCACACCGTCAGTGCCTTGGGTTGGGAGGGGTGGTGGTCTGAGTTCATGGTGACCATGAGTTTGTAAGTTCCTCCTTCTATCACATGGGTGAGGACTATTTCTAAGCCATGCTCTCCTTGGGCAGGATGGCATGGTAAGTGGTTGCTGGCACTGTAATCTTATGTTTCCCCTATTCACTGAGAAAACCCTCCCACTATTGACCTGCTTGTTTGGCTTTTTGCAATCTCTTTTTGTGGGCCCCCTCCCCACCCTGAGTGTAGTAATTGCTGGGCTGAATTCTAACCCAGCCTACTACACTATGCCTCATAGGATAAGCCTGAAAGAGCCCATTGCTCTGGGAACATCTTTTCTCTGAAGACCTTGCCCTTGGGGCAGCCAAGATTTTGCTCCAATAGAGGCAGAGAATGGGCGAGTGAGAGGGTGAAGAGGATGACAGTGACAGTTAATTTCCAAGCAGGCCCAGCTCCCAGCTCCCATCCTGGAAACCCTGAGCTCGACCTGTGTCCTTTCCAGAAATGTGAGCCCTACCTATCCAATTTCCTCTTACACCTCTTCTAGGTTTCCCACCGCTGCCTTTGTGTGACAACATGGCATGCATGTGGCCCATCTGGGGATCAGGGAACTCTATTGGGTATGCCAGCTTAATGAAATACTTGCAGTTTATTAAACACAGACTTCCCTAAGCCCCAAGTGCCTGTGGGTATTTGAAAGCTGAAGGTAACCCTGAGCTACCACAAATGTAATTGCTACATGTGTCCATGCATTCCTCCTGCAACCTCAAACTCTGGCTCTTAGGCAGCCCTTGAAATGAACAACATAAAGTAACTCCTAGTCAAAGGAGGGGGAAATGTGGGGTAATGCTGGGAGAGGTTCCCCAGAACCTCTCAGGGCCTTTAAATGTATATGAAGTTCTCATTACCTCTAACCATGGAGGGCACTCCCCCAGCCCTGGGGCTGCTTGGTGATGGAGAATTGGTTCATTATGAGCCAGGCAGGCAGCAGGCCTTGAATGTCAAGCTTTCGTGTCAGCCCCCCATGATGTAGCTCAAATATTTCAAGCCCTAATTCAGTAAGGCTTTCTCTCAGTGCCAGAGCTAGCAGAGTACAGCGTTTGGAGCCTCCCTCTAGAGCTGTACGTCTGTTCCTTCTCCAGGCCTTGGATGAAGAAGGTCGTTCCAAGTCTGGGAAGGACTATGGAGAAAATGCAAGTGAGCGGGAGTCAGCATCCCTGAACCTGGAGGAGGCTGCTCCTGCAGGATGCCTGCCCACTCATCACTCTCCTCGGCCTTCGGTTGGTAAATCAGGGATGAGGACTGAGATGGAAGCCGCAGACAAAGGCCTCCAGGGAGGTTCCTCCCTCCATATGGACCACCATTTGGACATCACAGAAGGAGACTTTGCTGACAGTGTTCAGAGGTACTTGTTCTGGGTACCTCAGTGGCAGCCCGTTGACCCATACACTCTTGTGGCTCAGCCTTGAGACAGAAGGTCAACTGAGTGCTGCCCTACTCTAGGTAGGGCTCCAGGGACAGGTGCTGGTGGGAGAGCTGGGGCAGCTTCAGCTGGAGGTGGGCATCCTGCCCATATCCAACCAGCGGTGGGCTGGTAACATGCTGCCACTGCAGTGGGACATTGGTGAAAGCAGCTGGGCCCAGAGTAGGGTGGTGTAGGCTCACCTGCAGGACTGTGGGTGTCCTCTCCATGGTCTAACACCTGGGAAGAATGGAATACAGACAGACCTCTGTGGCTTTCTGAGCTTGAATAACCCAATCTCCTTAGGGACCCCTTGGCCACATCTAGCTAATCATGGCCATGTATCCATAGATACACTCATTCTACCTAAGCTAGGTTAGAGACAATTGGTTCTATCTCTAGATTTGCTCTGAGAGTGGGACATCCCACCTCTTCTCTCTGCATTTTGTTTTCCTATAAGTATACCCATCCTTCTATGGATGGGATAAAGTATACCAGCTTGCAGGATGGGGCTTTGGTTGTCTGTTGGTAATCTGAGGCCAACTGGCCTTGCTTCATAAGAAGGGAAGGGAAGAAATACAGCCTAAACCTACACCTTCCTTGAATCTGACAGTCATAGAACAAACCCTTACTGAACCTTCCTTTGAGGCTGGAGCCAAACCAACTTCTGCAGAAAAGAGATGAAATCAAGCACTCGCTCCCAGGAGCACCCAGTGTGAAGAGGAGTGGTAATTCTATCTCTGGAGGTGTGAGACCCAAGAGAGGGAAGCCCACCCACTTTTGGGCATCAGAAAAGCTGCTGGAGACTCCAAGGCGGAATAAAAACAGCGAGCATCTTCCAAGTGTTTCCTGTGGGCCAGACCGTGCTCAGTGTGTTCCCTGGTGAAGGGCACAAGCATCTTGTCTTTATCACTGGGCAGAAAACAGATTCTGATGGAGAAGGTGGACAGTGCCAAGGGCTGGCTCACTAAAAAGCTCAAAGGGGCTCTGAGGAGGCAACTGGTATTGTCTGCCACAGTGGGAAATGTACACATCGTTTGTCCCACAACAAATTCTGTCTCCAGGAATTTGTCCTTTGGGATCTCATTGGCACACCTGGGAGGCCATTTCCAATGCTCAGTTTTGTTCCTGCATTGATTTGAGGGACATAAATGCTGTGCCACATCCACATACCCCATGTGGTCCAGGATCTGCTGCCCATTCAATAGGAACCAAGGGCTGAGTGCTGGGTAAGTAATGCATTTTCCTGGCCCCAGGATTTTCCCCATAGTGTTTTCTCTAAGGACACATCTTCTACCCCAAACTCTGTGTTCAGACACTGCTCATATTTCAAGACCTAGTTGTTGCCTCTTCTTTGAGGCTTTTTTCCCTCAGGGGAAAGTGACCTTCGCCTCTCTCCTCTGACATCTGCAGCAGAGAGAAAGAGCCTGCCTCACCAACACTTCCACTCCCCCGCCCATATTTGCATTTCATGCCAGAGTTCTGTGGGCCTTTGTCCTGTCTTCCTTGAGCTCCTTTTTTGTCTCCCCGGGGCCTCCCAAAGGCACGCCCCACTTCTCAGAATAGATAGCTCCTGGCCACAGCAAGTACCTGAGCATACACTGCCTAGTTTGCTAAATGAGGAGAAGCGTGCATACATGGTCTAATCAAGTACTGATAGACCACTAATGGGAATGTGGTCCTCAAAGGTCATGGGACAAGAGCCAATACCAGGTGACACAAAGTCAGTATCACTCCAACTCCTCATCTCTCTGCCTTTCCTATCTTTTGCATGCAGTTGGTGAATGGGGACCTACTGGTCTGACAGTGTAGTCTAGGCCTCTCAGGATACTCCTTTTCCCTGGTATATAGATATGCATTGCCCCTGCCAAATCCTCCTTTGGGCCCTGCTTGCAGAAAGCCTCTCCCTGAGGTAGGGATACAGGCTGGGCCCAGGACAGCTGGGCTGGGCTTTTGTGCCTTTAGACCTGGCCAGGAATTCAGTGTTCACTCCTAGAAACCAACCCTGCGGCTCAGGGACCCTGATAGAACCCATTAAAAAGGACTCATGGTTGCTCTGTGTGACCTTACTCTACTCTGGTGAGTCATTTAGAGCTGACAGAAATCACCCACTGCAGAGAAGTCCCTGAAGAGGCTTTCTCTTATCTCTTGGATCCAAACTTATCTGGGGAAACAAACCCATCCCTCATGATCCTGCCTCTGGCTGAAGCAAGAAAAGACACTCAGGTGTGTGTCTGGCAAGAAGCCCTTCGCTGGCTTTCCTGTGGGTCCAGGCCCTCTGACTTCACCTACCTTGTTCCAGGGGGCACATCTGACATTAGCCCTGCAGCTGTGAGCTCTCTCAAGGGAGAGGGTCTGGGCTGGGGCAAAGCCAGGGAGGCCTTTTATGGCTGCGGCTTTGGAATATGAGGTGTCAGAAGTCATTTCGATTTTGTTTCTTTCTTCCTTTTTCCCTTTGGGAAAGAAAATGGAAGTATAATTTTCCATTTCAGAAGGGTGACCCCCTGTGAGAGTTAACCCCAGCATGGGATCCTGTCTAGGAGGAGCCTAATGATGGGTGGGGCTCTCCCCTGGGTCACAGTGCTGCCAGCCTCTACCACTCCACCCCAGGGTATCAGCAAACTTCCCCTAGCCCTGGCTGTCCAATGAGACAAAAGCAGCACTGGGGTGTTAGAAAGGAGGTCTTTGTGGGCAGGGGCTATGGGCACTCTGAGGAGTTCTGGCTGAATTAGGATTGGCCTAGGAAGCTATAGTCAATGGTACAATCCCTGGAGTATCTCAGGAAAGTGGGGCATGGGGAAGGGAGAGAAGAGCCACTTCCAGGAGGTGGCCTTTCCTGCAGAGCATCTGGAAGCTGTCTCATGCACTCCTTTCCTCCTGGGTCTGCTGGTCCATGAACAGTCTAGTAGAAGTCAAGGTGGACAGTCGCCCAGCGCTATGAGCTCTGCCTGGATGTTGCTATAGCACCAATCCTTCATGCTACCAGTGTGTTCAAGTCACCTTCCTTACCTGCTAACCTGCCAAGGTGACAAAAGACATGAATGATGGAGACCACTACGAAGCAGATCTGAGCAGGACTTAAATTAATCAATTGGCTTTTCATGTTCACTTGTGAATCTGTCCAAGGCCTAGGCTTCTTGTCTGAAAATGGCAGACTCATAGTAAGTGAACCTCTGTGAGTCACTAATCGCTACTAAAACCCGTAGTGGCGGATAAAGCTGGACAGCCTCAAAGGATAAGACAAGCTCATAGCCAAAGACACCTGGATCAGATCTCAACTGGATAAAGATTATAGCCTCAGGCATCTCACCCCTGAGTAGATTAACTTAATCTTTATTAAGGATTAATTTAATACCTTACTTGGAGAAGTTCTCGAGTGATTCTGCCCTTCTTGAGTACTCCCCTCTCTTTTTCTGATAACCAAATAAATATGGCCCACCCAGAGAAGGTCTTGGTGTTATCCCTGAGAGAATCTCAAATTCTATGAGGGCTTTGATCCTCCTGGAGCCCTGAAACCATTCCATTTGCCTCTTTTTATTTAGCCCTCACTGTATATTCATTCAGGAGATTACAGACCTGATCAGCCAGCAATAACTAAGTGATATTATTAACCTGACACATGGTGCCTGGCACAGAGCAGAGTCAACCAATGGGAGCATACCTAAAGGATTAATGGTGAGGTTTCAGCTCCAGCTTTGGGATAGGAGATATCAGATTAACCTTCCCACTAAGAACATCTATAAGTGATGGGTTTTTAAAAGTCAGTTTGAGGCCAGGCATATAGCTCAGTGGAACAAGCACCTGCCTGTCAATAGCAAGGTCCTAAGTTTGACTCCTGGTACCAAAAACATAAAAATCATTTTGAAAGGCATTGGAAAGTGACAGGAATCCAGGACTGGAAGAGTTAAGACCTCAGTGGGAAGGAAAACCTACTCATTTAATGAAGCTTGATGTTACAGTTGATACATTGTGTCAACTTGAGAAGTCTAAAGGCTTGGCTAAGTGACTCAGCAGTTCTGCATCTTGGGGTGAAAAGGACATGCCCTTACCACTCTGGGATGTTGTTCATTGTATCAATTTGAGAAGTTTAGAAGGTTAACTATGTGACTCAGCAGGGAGCCAGAATGCTTACTTTGTATTCATCCTGAGCTTGTGCAAGAGGAAGACAGGGATATGGTGTGGGTGCAGAGGCATGGTGATGGTATAGGTGGGTAGGCTGCATACAATAAAAGGGAATTGAGAAAGGACTGATTGCTGGTTCTTCAGAGGAGCTCCAGTCTTCGCCTTCAGCTTGGTCATCTGGCTTCTGGTGCAGACTGTTGGGCTTCCGCCTGGGACTCCTCAGCCTTCCGGTGTAGACTCTTCGGCCTTCATCATAGATCCTTTAGCATTCCATCATAGCCTCCTGATATGGACTTGCACTGACCCTGCAGGTAGCTGGGCTCTTCAATCTCCAGCATGCAGACACCCTCTGCACGCTTCCTCATCCAAATCTGTGGCTGACCATTGTAAGCCAAACTTGTAATTTCATGTCCATTTGTATATCTTGGGTTATATCAATTTCTCTAGTAAACCCTGACTGATACACTTGACATGCTACCCTCTTCCCTCTGTGGCATTTGGAAATTGAAAAGCAACATGGATCCAGAGTCTGAGCAGAAAGTAGCAGCTTAGGACTCTCAAGAGTCTCACAAGACAGAGGAGACACATTCAGGAGCTTAGGACTCAAAAGGCCAAGATACTGGGTAAAAAGAGAACCACGGAGAACGGTGCTCACCTTTCAGTTCCCCCTTGCCATCTTCTTCTGATTTCAAAGCTGGTGGAACGAGAGGCTGAAACCCCAAGTAAATGTGAGCTAAAAAGCTCAGAGCTAAGCAGAGCCTTTGGCGGTCATGGCACTAAAGAAACTAAAATTGGATTCCAGGATCTGCCAAAGAATGGTCTTGTTAAACACCCTGAACTTTCAAATGAGACCCACAGGGGACTCCTAGAACTAAGGGTAAACAAAATAGGCCTGGTCTAAAGAAGACTGAAACCCACCCTAAAATGATCTCCATCTCTCTCCTTGAACTACATTCTAGAAGAAAAGTAAACCCTTGCTAGACAAAGTTACATATAGGCTTCTACAATTTTTCATTAACAACTAAATTTCATCCACAATTAATAAAAGAAAATTGCCAGGCATTCCAAGATACAAGACATACTCTCTAAAACATGAGAGAATAACAAAACAGAAACACCTTCAACACACGTGCACACACACACACCCTTTGCAATTGTTCATAGACATTTTATTTTACCAGCCCCAAACTGGAAACAACACAAATATCCATTAACAGGAAAATGGGGAAAGGATTTGCAAAATATGTATACCATGAAACATTACAAAGCAATAAAAAAGAGAACAAAATAATGATACATATAAATGAGTCCCAGATATACTATATGGAGCAAAGGAAAACAGGCACGAAATTATAGATTGTATGATTCTATAATCACGGAGTTTATAGAATGGAGTGCAAGAACAGAGAAAACTAACCCATATTAAATGGTAGAAGTCAGAATGTTGGATTACCTTTGCAGAGAGGAATTGACTGGTGCATTAATTTGCTACAGTTGCCGTATATAACCAAACACCAAAAAAATAGATAGCTTGAACAACAAAAATGTATTGGCTTACATTTTTGGAAACTTGAAGTTCAAGATCAAGGTTGTGACAAGGCTGGTTCCTTCTGTGAGTTGTATGAGAGAGATGTTTCATTACCTTCACCCAGCTCCTGGTGGTTTGCAGGCAATCTGTGGCACTCCATGGCTTGAAGGAGCTTTATGACAGATCTCTGCTGTCATCATCTCATGGTGTTCTTTCTGTGTACTTGTCTGCTTCCAAATTTCCTCTTTTTATGAGAACAACAGTTGTATTGGATCAGGACTCACCTCAGTGACCTCAGTGAAACTGTCAATAAAGACCCTATTCCCAAATAAGGTCCTGAGAAACTAGGATGTCTTCAATAAATGAATTTGGGAAGGGGGAGTACAATTCAACCATAACAGCTGGAATGCATTATGAGAGAATTTTCAGCAGTGATGAAAGTGGAATGGTGAAATAGCGTGTACAGACAGAAACTTATCAAGCTGTGAACTTGATAAGGGATTTTATATTTTGCTGTATGGAAATTTTGCACAATAGTTTTGCTTCCCTAAAAATTCCCTGTGATCCACCTGTTAGTCCTATAATCCTTATCAACCACTGATACTTTTAGTGTTTTTATGGTTTTGTCTTTTCTCTATCTTATAATTGGAATCTTACAATATGTAGCCTTTTCAGATTGATTTCTTTCAGTTAATAATATTTATTACACTTCACTTATACCTTTTTCTAGCTTGATAGCTTATTTACTTTTAGCACTGAATAATATTTTACTGTCTGACTGTACCACAGTGCATTTATCCATTCACCCACTGAAGGACATTTTTGTTGCTTCCAAGTCTTGACAATTGTAAATAAAATTATTTTGAACATTGGTGTGCAAGTTTTTGTGTTGACGTATATTCATTTGGTAGGAGCCAAGATTGCAGGATTGTGTGATAAGACTATGTTTAGTTTTGTAAGAAACTGCCAACCTATCTTCCAAAGTGGGCATACCGTTTTGCATTCCTACCAGCAATGAATGGGAGTCCCTCACGCTCTGCATCCTTGCCAGCATTTGGCATTGTGCATATTTAGATTTGCATTATCTTAATCAGTGCGCAGTGGTAACTTGTTGTTGTTTTAAACTAGGGACATAAGATGTTGAATAACTTTTAATATGCTTATTTGCCATCTCTATATATCCTTTGGTGAGGTGTCCAGCTCTTTTGTACATTGTTTAATCCAGTTACTTAATTTCTTATTGTTGAGTTCGGGGTAACAGTTTTCTATCAAGTTTTTTTGCAAATATTTTTACCTACCCTGTGGCTTGTTTTTTTGTTCCTTTAAGAATGTCTTTTGCAAATCTGAAGTTTTAAATTTCAACAAAATCCAGTTTATTGACTGCTTCTTTTATGGACTGCCTTGGGTCCTATATTTTAAAGCTCATTATTAAATCCAAAGTCATCTAGATTTTTCTCAGATATTGTCTTCTAAGAGTTTTTATAATTTTACATTTACATTTAGGTCTATGATCCATTTTAAGTAATTCTTCTATGAAGAAGGGAAGGTCTGTGTCTAGATTCATTTTTTTTTCATATAGATGTCTAATTTTAACAAGCTTAGCACCATTTGTTAAAAAGATAATTTTCTCCCACTATATTGTTTTTGCTTCTTTGTCAGTGATGGGTATATTATATTTATGTAGGTCTCTTTCTGGGCTTTCTACTTTGTACCATTGATCTATTTGTCTGTTCTTTTATAAATACTACACTGTCTTGATTATTATAGTAAATCTTGAAATTGAGTAGAGTCAATCCTTCAGCTTTGTTCTTCTACCATATTGGCTATTCTGTGTCTTTTGCCTCTCTGTATCACCTTTGAAAATACATTTATTAATATCCACAAAGTAATTTAGTGGTATATTCCCATAATCCCAGCACTCAAGAAGCTGATGTAGGAATATCGTCATGAGTTCAAGGCCAGCCTGGTCCACCTAGTGAGTTCAAAGTGTCTTAGTAACTTTTCTTTCATTGCTGAGACAAAATACCTAATGCCCAAAATTAAAGAAGGAAAGGTTTATTTAGCTCATAGTCTGTGGAGGTTTCAGCCCATACTCAGCTGGCTCCAAGGCAGAGCGGCACATGGCAGAGGGCAACAGTTTATGGTGGTGGAAAACATCAAAAGCAGCAAGAGCAAAGAGGAAGGAATGGCAGCGAACAAGCCTCTTTCCCTCCTTTACATTGTATGCAGGCTACCTGCCCAAGGGTGGGTGTAGCACTCACACCCATAATCCCAGCATTGGACCATGGATCAATCAAAAACTCTAGAAGCCCGCCCCATAACTGCATGAAGCTTTGCGGGGACATCTAGACACAAACCATAACACACATCAGCCTGAACTACACTGCAAGATCCTGTCTTAAAACAAGAACAAAAA